AGGCTAGCTTCTCCAGGGCCTTGCTTCTTGGCTTCTAAATAGCCATCTTTCTCCATGTGTCTTCCCATGGCCCTTCTCCTGTGTGTGTACAAGTCTGTGCCCAGATTTCCTCTTCTTATACAAACCCTGGCTCTGTTGGATTAGAGCCCATATATATGATCTCATTTCACTTTAATCATCTCTCTCTAAAGATCTTATCTCCGTGCACAGTCACATTGGGAGGTACTAGAAGTTAGGGTTTCAACCTACGACGAGTAAGGCAACACAAGTCAGTCCAGGACAAACACCGTCACAAGTGCAAGACTCATTACGCCTCAGTGAGTCCCTGCTCCTCCTGAGCCTGCATGTCCTTCTGCCAGGTGACAACACCTCCCCAGCCACTGCAACACACAAAAGCACCAGCTTAGGAGTCTTTAATGAAGGCCAAAGCCATGCTGAGTAACTATATTTAAAAGGATGCTTATGCCTGGGCACCAGTGAGGCATGGCCCACCCAGCTGTTTGTGATAAATCAGAAGTTCCTTTCCTAATAGCAAAATTTTCCTCTGACACACAGAGATGGATAGGCTTCTCAGATTACACACAGAGAAACCCAAAACCACCACGTTCCTTTCCCAGGGAAAAAAAAATCCCCATTGAAAGACTCTAGCTTTCCATTCTCTCCACGTGCACGACATCATCACAGGCCCCTTATTAAATTGTCACACTATTTACTCATCTGAGGAAGGAGCCATGTGAAGGGGGCTGATGAGCCATCAGCATTTTGGGGAGGTTTTTTTCTCTTCAAACTCAAAATGCTGGGGTCACTCAGACTCAGGTTGAACAGCTGTTTCAGCTCTTAACACACAGGAAGTCTGACCCTGGGCCCTGCACTGGATTGAGTGATGACTCAGGAGACAGAAGGTTACAGGTCTTGAGGGTCCAGCGCGGGGCATTTCCCAAGACTGTAATGGTCACTTACACTGGAGTATGTCTTGAGTCTCCCTGGAAGAGAACGACAGGAACACACTGAATTCATTTCCTGTCCACATTCTTCATCCTGCTTCCCTTTCTCTTACAGAGCAGCAACACAGTAGACTTTGCCAAAGAGGGACCAGGACTAATTCTACAGATTTTTACTTGTGATTCCCTACCCTCCTGGGAAGTTTAATCTATCACTCTGGTAGGAAATCTTCCCTTTTTCACTGTAACAGCAGGTGTTCTGTGTCTGTGAGGCACAGCTCAGTTCCAACTCTGGAAGGCAGGCTTGATGGAGGGCAGATTTGAATTCTGCGCCTGTTCCATGTCTTTGCACTGGGCACTGAAATCCAGACCCCGATTGGCTTGCCAGTCTCTGCGCCCTGGAGGAAAGGGTCTATTTTTCCTCCTGAAAACCTGGCTGCTGGCTGAACCATGTAGATACATCCACCCAGAGGAGATGCATTTCTCCATCTGGTCTACCCAGAGGAGGAGGCTTTTCCAATTGGCCCACTTGAGGCTATGCTTCCTTCAATTGGCCTATTCAGAAAGACTGACTTAATTCTAGTTAGCCTGCCCAGAGTGACATCTTTTTCTAATTGATCTGTCTAGGCATAGCTTTCCTAATTTGTCCAAAATTTGTGCAAAAGCCCATACAGCCCATACAGGTTATCAGCAGATCTGTGTGAACAAGGCAATCAATAAATGTTTGAATGAAAACCAAAAATCACCTCTACGGCCAAGTAACATAATGTTTTTGTTGTTATGGTTCCTGTCTTGCTTCTAACCACTTACAACTATGAAATTCCCCCAACAATGTGTAGTCTGAACCCATAGCCTTCTCACTGGATGGCTTTAGATTAAAAAAAAAAATTCTTTTTTTCTTTTTGAGACAGGGTCTTGCTACATATTCCAGGCTGGACTTGAACTCACTGTGAAGCCCAGGCTGGCCTCGAACTCACAGAGATCCTCTTGCTTCAGCATTCCAAATGCTGGGTTACAAGCATGTGCCACCACGCCTGGCGAGGTTAAAAAATAAATCTTAAAATAAGTCTTATGAAAATGGAAAAAGTTTTCCATGAGTGCACAGGAAATAATTTGGAAAAAGGAGACCCCATCAGTGATTTCTCTTTTCCCTTTTCTTTCTTCCTTTCCCTTCCCCTAGGCCTGGGATGACCTCTTCCCTTCGACAACAAAGAAGTCTTAGACAGGGGTTCTTTCAAATTTGACATTTAATGCTTTAAACTCCAAAATTAGCTCTAATTCAAGAAGCATTCCTGTCCCACAGGCAACAGGAAACAATCAATATCCTATTCTCACATCACAGGACAACTGGCTGCCAAAAGCAGCTGAAAAGGTACAGGAATAAAACAGTCTGGAAGAGGCTGGCTTGGCGGGGGGGTTCGTTATAGAAGTTGAAAACACAAATTCTGGCAACAATAATAACACAAGACCAAGTTCTCTCAACTTAGTGCCACATTTTAAAGAGATCTTAAAACAATGAAAATGACAGATTCCCATGAAGGGATCCCTTTTTTAAATGGAGCTAAGTACCCCCAAAACACTGTAAGTACTGGAGAAATGTAACTCCTAAAGACTGGAAAACGTTGTGCTGAATTTTGCAGAGAGGTCGTTACTAAATCAAAACACTGGGAATAAAGTTGTCCAGTAAACCTTTCCAAACCATACCTGTTTGGTAACCTGTGGAGAATCACCTATAAATTTGTTCCCTCTTTTGTTGTGAAAGTGACTCTTGTTATGGTTTATATCTAGATGTCCCACCAAAGCCTCAAGTGCTCACCAGTGGGGCTTTGGGGAGGCAACTGGGTCGTGGGAGCCAGGTGAACCCTGGTTGGAGCAGGTGGGTCACTGGGGGCGTGGCCTGGAAAGGTCTATCCCCCTCCCTCCTCCCTTGATCTCTCTCCTTCCTGTCTGTCTACCCTCAGCAATCTCCTCTGCACTGCCCTGCCTTGGGGCCAGCTGACTAAGGACTGAAACCTCTACAAAATGGGAGCCAAAATCAGCCTCTCCTCCTTGGCGTTGTGGGTGTCTGGTATTGTGTCTCTCAGCGATGAGAAAGTAACTAAGACAACTCTACTGTTAAAGGGGATGCCAAGAAAGTGACCTGGAGTGGAGGCAAGTAAGGGTTCCATTATCAGACCTCCCTAGCGCTACGGCATCAGCCCTGAAAATGTAAGGACCCAGTCGTGTCCAGCAACAGCAACAAGGAAAAAACAGGAGGCAGAGAAGAAGGGACTGAGGAAAATTCACCAGGAGCTGCAGAGGAAGCGCAGGAGAGACAGATAGGAGGCCATCGGAATCTGAGGAATGCAGGACCTTTGGGCCCCTGGTATCCTGGGAGACCGTCCAGTTCTAGGAGGTGAGATTACCGCAGAGGTACCTCCCCTCCTTTCTAGCCTTAAAGGCAAACTCCATCACCCATGATCAACAAAGCGGGCATCTGAAAGAGCCTCACTGGCACAAGTCCTTAGGTTTCCAGTATAACTGTGACAGTCTCGGTGAATAACCACCAGCAGTCAGTATTCCTGAGAAACCGAAGCTGAGAAGGCTTGAATACCTGTTCTACATGACACCAGTAACTTGTCATTGTGTAACAGGTTGGAAAGCACAAGGCCAAACTTCCTACCCAACATGAAGACTCATCTGCAAACACAAGGAAGCACTGGCACCACTCACTGACAACATCTAAAGACTTACAACATGAAGCCAACAACAAACCCTCCAATTCCCATACACCTCAAACTAAGAGAAGACAAGAGTCATCTGTCTGATTAGACGAAATACACAATTTCAGCCCGGGCGTGGTGGCACACACCTCGATGCCAGCACAGCCTGGGCAGCTCAGGGACTTAGCAAGACTGACTCAAAATTAATTTTCTTTTTTTTTTTTTTAAGAGAAGGCTGGAACATACGCTAAGATCCTGCGTTCAATCCTCAATACTGCAAATAAACAAATTAAACTTCAGTGTGCCTCCGCCTCCCTTCTCTCCCCTGCCACCGAAAGTCCTATCATGGATGAAAAAGCAAATGACCAATGAGAGAATATAAGGCAACAAAGATTAAAAATTCAGTATCTTTTATATGTAGAGTTCACACAACCTTGTAAGATAAATAGGAGAAAAATAAGGAAAAAACTCACTAGCAAGAGTTCATAAAAGAAACAAAATGTAACTATATTGTTTGCTTTAAATGTACCAATAAACTTAATAGGGAAAAAAAAAACAAAATTCAATCAAGTATATAAGCTATGATTAACTCTGCTAATTATCAAAATGTACATTTTAAACGTCAGTTTCATACAATGTTGGATAACGTGGCATAATACTTCTAGGGTGCAATTTGTTTATCTTTATTAAGTTTATTGGTACAATTTAGGTATACAGTACAGCTACATTCATCACTGAGATCCTGTACCTTTACAAGATGTATCTTGGTTCTTATTTTTTCCCCATTCCCCAGCCCTCCCTTCACCCCCTCAACCCTTCCCTGTTTACAATGACATTGTTTCCTTGTTTTTCCTTTTTACATATTTTTTCTTTCCCTTTTCCCTACCCCTCCCACTTCCCCTATTCTTTTAATCCTTTTCTTTCTGCTACACAATATCAATTATACATTTTGATCCTTATTTACGCTTTCTGTTTTTCACACCAGAGAAACGATTCAGTATTTACACGTGTGCCTTATTAATTTCACTTAAGAGCCTGGTCTCAGTGTGCATCCACTTTAGCTATGGAGAGGGACATATGAAGGTAGGGCAGCATTGTTATGCAGGGAAATTTTTTCAGCAACTTCCATGTCCAGCAATTAAGAACAGATTTCAAAAATTAAAGTGCCTCCAAAGAATAGACCCTTGTATGACACCAAAATTCAAATCTTGAAAGAATATTTATCAAAATCTGTACCTTTCCCATAAAATTAGTTGCAATTCAATGTGAACAGTGCACTCCAACTCTGAAACAGATGGATCCAAAAAGCAAAAAAGAAAAACCTTGAATATATCTGTACCACAAATAAATGACTCACCTAAATGTTCACAGTGATCTTCACTGGATTGTGATTATAGATGATTTTTAGTTTCTTCTTGGAGTTTCTGATTATTTTCCACAAGCAATGGAGGGTATAAGATCATGTTTAATTAACCAGGAACAAAAAAAAGAGGCTTTTTTTAAAAGTAATCTAAAGCAGAGGGGGAGTAGATAATGAAATGTGATTAGTAAAGTACATAGCAGGTGGCACAGTTAGCAATGAAGAGTTTAAGTGGCCATAAGAAAAAAATATGGTAATTACTAAATACGAGACTGTATTTATTTGAATGTGTTAAGAACTTCAAATATTCTAAAGTGTACCTGTGACTGAACTGATTTAAGACATTTTAAAATACTTAATACTTGGTCCAAAATACTTTAAAATATTACTTTAAAAATACTTATGCACCTGCTTAGCATGTGTGAACCCTGGGTTCAGTCCCCAGCAAACACGCACAACCCATAGGTAATATTTATGTATATCCATATATATGAGAATGATTCAAAAATGTGTGTATATATATTGTTCATCACAGGAAAGACACGGACTAGTATTTGACAATTCACATGTTTTCTAAGCAAGCATGCTGTTGAGTAATAAGCCCCTGTGAAATCTGGAAGACACAGTCCCTCATCTGATTATTATAAGTATTTATTATTCCATGCGCTCTCAGGTACATCAGTTGTCTTAGTGGTCTTCCATGATAAAAATCATATATATATAATCTATATACAGATATATATATAAATCATATATATATGATTTTTTTTAAAGAATCTTATTCCTGATCTAGGAAAAAGCACCTCAGAGTAATGAATTAGGTGGGAGCACAATAACCACGTCACACTTTCCCTCCAGGGGAAAACTGAAGTTTTATTACATCGAATTGGCCTTGAAACTACAACTACAGCTCGCAAATGTTAGTTTTTAATAGAATAAAATGTCATCCTATGGGAATGAGACTTTACAAAAACCTGGAGAAGTGTTTTCAAAACAAGCTTTCCTTATTAGCTTTATTAAATGTAAATGTTCAACTGAGAACTGAGTCATAGTCTACTCTCTCTAATTAAATTTTTAACCTAGAATGAGGAATGCACTTAGAAAGCTAGGCTTCTACATGAGAGCAGCAGTAATTCCAACTGAAAACCAGATTACATAAATGATAACGCTTATCTTTATCCATTTGGTTTCACTGAAGTAGGGCTCAGATAAAGTGCTAAACAATTCAGATCCCACAAGCCATAGCCAACTTTCCCCCAAAGTTTCACTCTCACCCCTGGCTCCTCCTCATTCCAGATGTCACTGACTTTCTCGGCCCAAATGAGGACAAGGCAAAGGCACAGGAAGCTGGTCCGGCTCGAGATGGTCCTGCATAATAAACTGGGCCAGAGCATGGGGCATTCTGTCCAATTTTTAACAAACATTCTGTGATCGTTCGTGGAAGTAGACGGTTAACAAGGAGACATTAAGGGACTGTTCACTGCCCTGCATAAGACGTGCACTGGCAGCTTTTCCATTTGATTCAAAAACTTCTCTTTTATAGATTTTTCTTCCTCTACAGTAGAGCAAAAGCACTACAGTTAGACGGAATTGTAACTTGAGCTACTCGAGTAGTTACCAGTGCCCACTGCTTCCTCCACTGAGAAAGTCTGCTGCCAATGTTATGTGTCCATATTATACTTTGCATAACATTAAGTCATATTCCATATTATACATTCACATACACACATGAATTTGTGTACATATATACATATACCTTTGCATGCATATACATTTAAGTGCATAGAGAGAGCCCATACTAGATGGCAGTGCAGCACTGCAGATACGGGGACGCGTCCCTCACTCCCCGGACCACACAGCAACAGGTTAAGGCCCACATGAGCCCACTAGTGAGTGATGCCTACCGCTTGGGTCTCGCCTTCACCACCTACTCATGACCTGATCAGCTGCTTCCTAAAACTTTTATTTGGAATCTCAGTTAGGCCTCCAAACACTCTGTGAAATGTGTGTTTGGGCAAATTTGTCTTTGCCATTATCTGAGGGATTTTCTGTGCTTAACTTGAGAGTCCAGCACGAACCAGGACACTGGTCAACCTAATAAAAATAAGAGATCCTGCCACAGCAGGCTGCTGGGAGGCACAAACTGTCATATGCCACGCATCATCTAGGCCACAGCCCAGCAGAGGGTGGATGTCCATAAAGGTTAATCACTATTACCGTTATCAGTGCTACATTATCTCCTTGTGGTCAAAGCAAAGAACGTGCACTCATTGCTTTCCTGTCAGGTTTTAGTGATTGGGAGGTCACAGAATCTCTGTCCTGCCTCCAGGTAGACAAAGGAAATGCTAGAAATCTGAACATCATCTTGTCAGCCTTAACAAGACTCCTTGGTGGCTCTCTGTGCTCTGTGGCCACCGATTCTCACTGCCCACTCTCCAGTCGCTGTCAACAGAGCTCTGGAAAGTAGCAGGTGACCAAGAAAGTTGTCACAATGAACAGGAGTGTCCAAACAGAGGCAGAGAGACAACCTGCCAACTCACCAAAAGCCACGCGGAAGGATGTAAGAAAACCGGAATGTAAGTCGGGGGTTAAAAGTGGAGAAATAACACAGGGTCAGAGGTCGAAATAAATCAAATGGGTCACAAAATGGGAACAAGAAGCAAGCAGCATTCTAAAATGTTTTAGGAATTTGGCTTAGGCGGCTAATAAGCTTATAAAAGAAAGACAGTCAAAGAGGCAGACTCCAAGCCTACATACATCTCCACGGAAAAGATCCAAAGAAATGTATGTTTGCAAATAGCAACTGCTCCATCTGTTGCAACATTGGTACATTTTCTCAGGAGAAAGCTGAGGGTCCACTAACAGCCCTATGACACTGCATCATATCTGTCTGCTTCTCGTTGGTCACCTGTCACTCTGGTACCTAGGTGCCTACCTTAACAAATCCCTGCAGAAAGAACAGCTATTTCTGGGCCAGGGTTTTTCTACACAGCCATGAGCCAACCTGTTCAACCTTGGGTATCCTCAGATGCAGCCAGATATGAGAGCTACAGAAAGAGCCTGTGAGCGTTCACTGTGAGCACATATACTAGAAAGGGCCTGCACATCCGCACAGCCTGCCAACTTGTGCACTGTCACCCAGGGGCCATCCTCACATCCCAGGAAGATCAAAGCTTTCTTTGACCCAGCCCAAAAGTATTCACTGGACACCTCCTCCTTGCTAGGTGCTACTCTAGATTCCTGGTACTATATAGGACAAGGCAAGTCCGTTCCTTGTGGCACTCAACAGTCAACCAAATGGCAGGTGATGGCAAGAACTGGATGGTGCCTCCCCACCCCACACCAAATTAATTCATTGGAGTCCTGGTCCTCTGTACCTCAGAAGGTGTCTTTATTTGGACACTGATTTGGTGAAAGTATTCAAGTTAAAGTGAGGTCTGCATTTAAAAGGGGGAAAGGATGCAGAGACAGACAGGCACACACAAGAAAGACACATGAAGGAACTCAGCGAGAAGACATCTACGCACAAGCGCAGAAGATTGGCCTAGAACAGCCTCTAATGAAGCCCTCAGAAGGTACCAACCCAGCCAGTCCTAATCATGAACTTCCAGCCTCCAAAACTGAGAGCTGAGAAGCCTCTGCTATTTAAGACTCAGCCTATGGTTCCGTTCTTACCAAGGGCGAATAAGGTGGATGAGGATGCAGAGGAGTGTTGTTGTGAATCTGCATTTCCATTAGATGGCACTCAGTGGCAGCATTCACTGTATTTTTTATCATATCTCTTAAAGACACTCAGGAAAGAAGACCCCCAGAACTGCGGCAGAAGCAGCACAAACAATGGGATAAGTGTGTCTGAAGTGAGGGGATTCATGACATTCGATCTTTTACCGTTAGGAATTTCAAAAGTTGAAACACTGATGCACACACCATGTAAACACCCACTGACAAGCAATTGCTAAGTGAGTGTGGCACCTCCATACAGTAAATGCTATGCAACAATTAGAAAAAAGGAGGCAATTCTGTAGTAGTTATGGAGAAGGAAGCTCAAGACGTATCAAGTGAAAAGAAGCTAGAGACTGAGCAGTACGCACAGTTTAAAAATCATGCATCCAGACCCTCACATTAACAAATATGTAGGTGCGCTTGTATGTATATGGGGTATCTCCAGAAGGACCCACAAGGAACTAGAATCAGAAGTCCCCACTGGGGACGGGCCCGAGGAGCTCAGGAGCACCGGCTGGAGGCAGCTACTGCTCACTTCGAATCCCTCAAAGCCTTGAAATTTCAGACCATGTGTCTCCATAACCTACCCCAAAACACCATCAAATACACCCAAAAGACACAAGAGTGGCCCAAAACCAAAAAGAACCAGTAATCCGAAATGGCATAGCTAGGGCAGAGTAGGCACGGGGATGCTAAAGATGGCTCTGCCCTGCGTTAGCTTCCTGTCCATCAGAAAGTCTGAACTGTTAACTCTAGTTGTCAAAAATCCAACTGCTCACAACTCTCTCAATGACTTTGCCCCTGGTTCAAGAGTGATGGAAGGAAGGGGGTCCCTTTCCAGCACAGCACCAGTCTCCGAATCAGATGTGCTTGTTTCAAGAGAGCACACAGCGCAAGCTTCCACCCTATAAACACCAGGAAACACAGCAGCGCCCTGAGCAGTGTTGCTGAAGGGAAATGTGCCAGAATAAGGCCAAAATGTTCTCCCAGATGCTGAGGGTGTGTGGAACGTAGAATCTGCCAACACGCCACATCACTGCAGGCTGAGAGGGAGGACGCTGCCTTGCTGGCTCCAGGAGCTGGCCTAGACACAGATACAGATCCCCAGGCTGTGGCTCTGTCCCTCTCAGCAGACAATAGATGCTAGTATGAGGCTCCTCCTTGTTGCTAAATGACTTTCTCCCCTGACTCTGGCTCTCAGCTGTGAGCTCTTCCCAACAACTGCCCCCAATAAGACCGTGCCGGCTTCTAGGATGGCTCCTGTCCAAGGCGTGGTCCAGGCCGAGGTAGAAAGCCCAGTCCTCTTGCCCCAACTTGGATAAAGGCCAGCTCCACGCTAGGCTCACCAAGCTTAGGCAGAGCTTTGGGTGACATTG